AAAATTACAACTGAAATAAGTTTTGTCAAACGAGATTTTCAATTACAAAAATCTAACAAAAGTTTTAGTTAACCAACTGACCCCAACAAATAAAATAACAATATAAGGACCCACCACTATCACTAGAAGTCAACTTCAAGGAACCGAAAGTCCCTCTAACTTACATATTTCTTCGTGGACCACATCCATTTCTCTCTCTCGTTTGTGGCAACAAAACAAATTTCTTCAAAAGATTCTTACTCTCACATAACGAAGTTAAAAAAATAATAATTACATAAATTTGAATAGATATTATTTCTATTTAGGATTATCTTTGTTTATGTAAATCTAGGGTTTATGATTTTCAATTTGGGGAAAATAAAATTTGGGATTAATTTTGTGATTGTAAATATTTTTGTTGCTCTTTATAGAATTTTTTGTCATGGTTGTTGGTTGGAACATTGGTATGATTGCATGAACCTGATTATTGGCCAATAATATTCGTGTGAGCTTCGCTGTGAAAAATTTGTTGAATAATAAGAACAGGTATTCTTAATTAACTTCAATGTTCCATTGAATACCCTTTATGTTTGTACAATATATGTATCTATTTATATATATATATATATATATATATGAAATTGATATACTTTGTACAATTTTTTTAAATTGTTCATGCTTAGAATAAAATTTTTAAATTGTTGGTTTTAGGGACAAATTTCATTGTAAATGTTTCATTAGAATTGAATTTTATTTTTTATTTTATTTTATATTTAGTTTGAGCGAATATGGACCAATTTCTCAAAAGAAAGTCAACCGCAATAGAGTCATCTTTCTACTCAAGAAACTCGTCGTGATAAACAAACTCGATTTGATTTAAGCAATCTTCCTTCAAGCCCGGGACTAAGAAAAAGAATCTCAAGTTATCATCCAAATTATCAAAATGCAACAAAAAGAGCTTATTTGCAAAATAGCCCTTGCCAGCAGTAAGCCATAACTTCCCTCAAAGAAACATTGGTGGAAAGCCTCACCGATTTATCCTTTCTTGGTTTGAAGAATATAAAACTAGTTAGAATATACTATTGAAAAAGATGCAGCCTTTTGTTTGTGGTGTTACTTGTTTAGGTCTAATGTCAATGGCATGCTTTTATGACAGAGGGATTCTCGGTTTGGAATAGAAAAGAAAGGCTAAAATCACATGTTGGAGATCACAATAGTGCCCACAACGAAGCTTGGAAGAAGTGTGAAAGCTCTAATGAATCAAAAGCAAAGTATTCAAAGTGTTTTCCATAAGCAATCTGAAAAAGATAAGAGTGCGTATCGAACTCGATTGAGTGCATCAGTTTATTGTGGAAGATTTCTTTTATGTAATGGGTTACCTTTTCGTGGTCATGATGAATCTGATGATTCCATTATTAAAGTGAATTTTCTTGAGCTTCTAAAGCATATTGATGATCATAACAAATCCATCAAGGAGATTGTGTTAGGGAATACTCTAGGCAAAGAATGCTCTCCACCGTACGGTTTATCGTGAGATCCTAGATTTGGCCGCTCGGGCATTATCAACATTGATTGCAAAGGATATACAGCGGGCATGTCTCCTTGGGTCTCTGGATGCTTAGTTTTGGCTATGCTCTTCAAACCAAAAAAGATGCATCATTCTGATATTCAAAAGGACATTACAAATACTTGTGCGAGTGAAACTACAAATGCTATCATCAAGAATCTTAATAATGATCTTTTCTCCACATTAGTTGACGAGTCTCGAGATATAATAATCAAAGAACAAATGGTCGTTGTTGTTCAATAGGTGGATAGATGTGGCAATATTATTGAGCCATTTTTTGGTATTGTACATGTAGTTGATACTACTGCGTTATCACTCAAAGTGGGGATTGAGTTTTTACTTACAAGATATGGATTAAGTTTATCAAGAGTATGTGGGCAAGGTTATGATGGGGCTAACAATATGCAAGGTGAATTCAATGGCCTCAAGGCATTAATTTTGAGAGAGAATAAATTTGCATTTTATGTTCATTGCTTTGCTCATCAATTAACTCTTGTGGCTGTTGCTAAAAATCACATTGATGTTGCTGAAATATTTTGCTTGATTGCCAGTTTAGTGAATGTTGTAGGAGGCTCTTGTAAGAGAAGAGATATCCTTCGAGAAAAATAGGCTGCTAAGGTTGTGGAAGCATTAGACAATGGTGAACTTAAAAGTGGAAGAGGTTTGAATCAAGAAACTAGCCTTAAACGAGCCCGTGTTACTCATGGGGGATCACATCATGGGACAATTGCAAACATGATTTTAATGTTCCCTTCTGTGATTGATGTATTGGAATTTGTTGTAGAAGATGATCTACAATTCGACCAAAGAGTTAGGCTTGTTCTCTTATGCAAAATGTGCAAACTTTTGAGTTTGCCTTTGGTTTACACTTGATGAAAACGATATTGGGAATCACTAATGATTTGTCACTACCATTACAAAATCAAAAGCAAGATATTGTAAAAGTTATGACATTAGTAAGAGTGAGTGTCAAAGCAACGATTGTAGATGATGAGAGATGATGGGTGGGATTTTTTAGTAACTGAAGTGTCTTCCATTTTGTAGGAAACATGATATTCAAATCCTGCACATAGATGAGATATATGTAGTTCCTAGAAGGCCACAACGCAAAGTCCCAAAATCACAAATTTACATCACTTTCGCGTTGAGCTAAACTATAGAGTTATAGATATGCAATTTCAAGAGCTTAACAATCGCTTTACTGAGGCAACTACTGAATTGCTTTTTTGTGTGGCTTGCTTGAATCCTAATGACACTTTTTCTACTTTTGACAAACAAAGGTTGATCCGTATAATAGAGTTTTATCCATCAAATTTTTCTTCCTTAGAACTCATGAAGCTTGATGATCAACTTGTGAACTATATTTTTATTGTACGCTCAAACAATGATTTCTTAGAAGTAAAAGGAATTGTCGAGCCTGATAAGAAATTGGTGAAGAGAAAGAAGAATCTAATAACCATTGGTATATTTGCTTGTGAAATTATCATTGCTTTTACCAGTTGCAACTGCTATTGTAGAAAGAGCTTTCTTGGCAATGAAATATTTAAAGAGTCGGGCGTGTAACCGAATAGGAGATCAATTGTTAAATGATTGATTGATCACATATATAGAAAATGATGCATTTGGCACTATTGACAATGAGTTATCATGCAATGATTCCAAAAAATGGCACCTCGTCGAATGCAATTGTAGAAGTTTGTGTATTTTTTTGTTTTATGAAGATAATAGTATTTTATTAAAAGTTTATTCTACTTAAAGTTGGAGAAGCTCAAATGTTAATTAGTTCAAAAGAAATTCTCAAAAAATTTGTGGAACTAAAGCTTTTGGAGTGACCCCATCCCTATAAATTCCTGGAGTTGCCATTGGTTGGCGGTTCAAATGTGTAGGGACAATTTCTAACTATTTAGAAAGACGTTCAAAACAAAGAGGCCAACACGGCAAAGTGTGCGCCAAGAAAGAAGAGAGTTTCTTTTGCTCAAGCTTTGATGACTTATTGCAATCTCACCAAATGTACACAAAAGGGAGGAGAGAAGGAGCCACAATAGTTTGCAAAGTGAGCTTTGTAGGGCAACCTAGGCGACAGGGTGCAGGACACTCATTAGGGGGTGGGAATGTGGATTACCCCACAAGGGTAGAGGGGCTGATTGCTTGGATTGACTCAATGTATCTCGAGCGTTTGCTTGGTTCGTTTGACATTGGATTGTGTTTGCTTCAAAGAACTTGTTTGGTTGGTTAGTTGGGTATCCCGCCAAGGTGGAGTTTTGTTCAAGTTTGCATGACTTTAATCAATGGTTGTTTTAGTGTAGTAGTTGGAGAATCCTTTCCAAGATGGAGATTTGTTGATTGTTGGCTCAACTTCTCATCCAAATTGTAACATGAAAGTCAAGATTGAATGCAAATGAAGAAAATGAAGGTGAGCTGTAGATTTGGTGCCCAAGCCCGCCAAACAATCCGTTGGAGGGTGGTTGTCGTAAAGCTTGTCGGTGGCTTGCTGGTGGCCAAACTTGCCTTTGGCTCCCCCATTTCATTTATAAATAGGGAGTATATGTGATGGGTTTTGAGTGCAACTAAGGTGTAGCAGAAGCAAAGGGTGAGAGAGTGATATGCGATTCATGTGAGTTGAGTAGAGCAAAGTGAGCTCCTCCTCCTATGTGTAATCTATGTATTGAGTTTATCGTTAGTTAATATTTTTGTTTTTTGTTTTTTTTCTCTCCCTATGGTCATAGGTGCACTATTGAACCACGTAAATCTTGTTGTCTTTGATAGCGTGTATTGGTGGTTGTTTCTCCCTGGGCACAACACCCTTAAGAAAATTTACTTTCAGGTCAAATTTGTTTGGGCAACAGTTACATGTCAAAGCTAATGCTCTGTTCATTTATTGCTTTGGAAGGATCACAAACTCTTATTATTTTTTGGGAAATTCTACCATACACACTCCTTCAAAGGGGTGTACCATAACCATCCCTAGTTATACCATTTTCTAAAATTCTTTCTTTTAGTTATGACCAATTTTTTTCATTAGTTATGACAACATATTAGTTTTGACAGATGAGATTTTTGGATATGCCTCTTATGGTATTTCGTTTTTTGGTTATAAGTTCCCCTTATTTTATTTTTTCTTGCAAATCCAAACTGTATTATTTTTGCAAATAATAATAATAATAATAAAATAGTCGAAAGAGGCAATCAAAGTAGGAATTACCCCCTATGCTCCTCCAAATGGTGAACACAGTCGAAGTACCAATCTTTATCCGGGTTTATCGACACTGTTACTGATTCAATTAAACGTCTAGGCTTCCATATTTCACCATAGAAGCTGGTAGAATTCTAGATAGATAGCTTATTTACCAATCAATTCTAAAATTCTGCAGCTAATATTATGGTAATCTATACTCTGTATTATAATGATGTTGTAGGAGAGAGAGAGAGAGAGAGAGAGAGAGAGAGAAGTGACCTTAGTCTGAAAATCGACATGATTGGAAGCGGCCTTGTAGAGAGTGTCGACAATGTGTTTGAAAGAAGGCTTGAGAGAGAGAGATTGGTCCACCCACACCCCATTGGCGAAGGACAACCTCGGACCACCGGTGGGTCCACCATCGGCGAAGACGAGGGAGACGAGCTGCGAAGAGAGAGAGTTGAGTTCGTCGGAGGATTTGGAGTTGAGGAAGGACAGCAACTGGTCAAGGGTTGGGGGTTTGGAGCCAGCAGTGATTAAGCTCAGGACAACGTGGATGGAGAGGGGAGAGAAGACGAGGTTCGAGTCCTTGGCCTCGCTTAGCACCACTTGCTTTGCGATGGCCAACGAGACGTCTGTTTGCTTGTTGATCAATTGTCGGAGGTCCATTTTTGTGCCACAATACTAAACGCGTTCCCCGAGAGTGCAAAGAACTTGAAGAAGAGAAGAGTGGAAATATTAATATATAGAGAGCGTCTCCAAAATTACTCAGGCCAAGTTTGGGATATTAAAAAAAAAATTAAGAAGTCAAAAAATTATTTAAAAAGTTAAAAAGTTAATATTATTCATTAAAAGTCAATAATTATGACTGTATAACTCTCAATTCTAATTTTTTTCTACAAATTAATTTTTATAATTTTTTATTACATATTTTTTTATAAAAAATTAAAAAGTTAACCTAAATATTTATATTTTTTTCCTTAACTTTTTAGTCTAAAAAGATAAAAAGTACACCAAGTTTTTTTTACCTACCTTTTTAGCCAAATAGTCAAAAAGTTACTAAATTAACTTGTTCCCAAACAAGGCCTTACTTTACGGGCTAAGGGTGCGAGGAGTAAATGGTTAGAGAAGTAAAAATTCAATCAAAAAATTTTATTAGAGTACTAAAAATAAATTCAATCAAAAAATTTTATTAGAGTACTAAAAATTCTATTAAAAATCTAATATACACGTGAGATCTATATAATATGAATTTTATGTGAAAGTATTTAGTGGGTGTTTAAAAAGTTATTATTTTAATAAATTATTTAATTTTTAATTATTTTAATAAGTTAAAATTTTTATATTTTAGAAGATAATTGAATTTTTTTTTTTTTGTAATTAGATACGATGTTTGTAACAGGAAAAATAAAATAATTATGAATTTAATATAACATTTTATATGGTTAACTTTTATTTTTGTTTTTTATAAACTTTAATCTAAAAAATTAAAAAATAACATTTGCCAAACACTTTTTTTAATAAAATTTTTTGTTTTAAATGAAACACGTACCACCAACGATTCCTTTGGTGTTTGCCTTGGGAGACCGTTGCGTACCCATTAAGCAGTGCTTGCTTTTACTTTTAGGCCATGTTTGTTTGGACGGATTGGACTAGTATTCTCATGACTAATAGTCTTAGGATTACGAATTCGTTGGATTTTTAATTGTTTAACTAAATATCAGATTAATAATTTTATTGGACTATTAGTCCAATCCCAAGCTCATGTCTACCCAAACAAACATGGCCTTATGATTTTGAGCACCGCCAGGTATCTTACGGCCGAAGAAAATAAATTCATGTAAAGCAAATTCTATTCATCCTAATTATGATTTTTGCGATTTTAATTATTATATATTAAAATATTAACGGTGATGGTATATGCATCAATTAATGTATTAATTAGTATATTAATATTAATTATGATATTATTATTGATCTCACTCATTAATTACATTACAAATACTAAAAACTATTTAAATTATGACACATCATCAATTGATACGTTAGTTAGTATACTAATTAGTGCATGTACCATTATTTGAATATTAATTAAGATATAATATTAATTATGATATTATTTTGATTATGAATTAATAATTCATTCATTATATTTGTTTTGTTATAATTTTTTTTATATTTTATTATGCCTCTCATAAAATTGAGTTATGGTATTTATATTAATTAATCATATAAATGTCCTACCTTACATATGTTGCGCATCATTATCCTAAGAGAAAAAATATTAATTTTATATATTAATGTAGTATTACTAATCTGATAGTATACAAACAAATACCATTTATCTTACATCTCCAACCTAATATAACCACACTAATAATCTCCTAACTTAATCATACTATATTTATAATCCTCTCAATCCTATGGAGCCAAACAAACTAGGCCTATGAGAAATTATGGTTGCTGCTCTACCTAATTCATATTATTTTAAAATAGATTTTTTGAATTCAAATTATTTTAAAAGATTTGGCTTCTCTTAAATTATCATATCAATTTAAAAGCTTAGTAAGCCCATTATAATACTGATTTTAGTGATTCAAATCGTTCATTTTTTAGGATTTGTTGGATAAAATATACATGTAAAAAATCAAGATAATTGGATATCGGTAGCTATATGTTTGAATCATATTTGTTTTAAAAAAATGAATGCCAAATATAATTTCAAGAATAACTATTCATTTTTTATAATACAAAATTGATTCAAACATATAGTTATCGAAATCCAATCATCTTATTTTTTGCATAAATATTTGACTCAATGAGTCTTAAAAAGTGAACCATTCGGATCACCGAAATCGATCATAAAATAGACTTACCAAATCCAAATGCTCTCTCAAATTGAGATGGCCAATACGAAAGAAACATAATCTTATTTTAAACTTATTTCTTAAATTTATGTTGTTATTTGAAATTAAAACATAATTTCAATTTTAAAACTCAAACCTTACTTTTAAGACACAATTTCAATTAATTAAAATTGTGTTTGAAAATATGATATTAAAATGGGTTAATTTGTGAAAAGTTCATTTGTATGGGGTCATATGTTATTTAGCTTAAGGTTTAATCTTTTCTCGTGATAAGGACACGCATCGAAAGGTTGCCAGAAAAGTAGCTAGAAAATTGGTTGAAAAAGTTACAGGAAAAATTGTTGGCGGACAGCAGTTGGTGATGGCCCTCAACTAGTGGTGGTGAGGTGGACAAATTGGTCACATTGAACAATTAGGTAAATAGATAAGTAACACGTGTACATATAGATGACATTTAAACAGATAGTTTTTCATTTGAACAAATAGTTCGATAGATAAGTTATATTGAACAGATAGACAAATAGGTATCTTTTTGGCCAAAAAAGATTTTAGTTTGGACCTACTAGCCCAACAATTTCACAAATAAACCTCTTGTCATGACCTGAACCCGCCTCTAGAGGTTAGGATCATAATCAGCCAGTAATCATGAGATTCTTTACAACCTCAGATAGAATTCAAACATATTTAATAATAAGGGAGCCAGAAGCGAAAGTATTGTCTAATGAGTTATGCATATATGGCATATCAAAGACATTTTCATCTATATTAATAACTCAGACTCATTCATACTTAAGAAGCCTCACATGTCCAATATCATACATATGTCATTAACATACAAACACCAAACTTATATACAGACACGGTCAAGCATGACCAACAAAAGAAAACAGAAAATCAAAAGACAAAAGCCTTGGCTAACTTCACAAAAACTTGGTAGTTCTCCACAGGTTAATTAGGACTGGGGCTGGACATCCCACTACTCACCTACATACATATATAACAGAGTGAGAGAAAGCCTAGTGAATAACATCAAAGTAAAAAGGTTATATGAATGGGTTCTAATACTTGAATAAAATCATTCATGTATTAATTTCGTATCATAGTGGAACGACCTTGGGTTCAATACATGACAGAATAACCTCGGGTCTAATGTAAACAGAGATTCAAAACAAAAACAGATCTTACTTATAGGAACTATCTCGGGTCCAATCAATTACAACTGTATAATGACTATTCGGTCAACTCATACAAATAATCAAACTTATTAGATATTTAGAATGACCTTGGGTCTGTCTTGTCAAATATACGGAACGACCTTGGGTCCATTTCAGATATACAGAATGACCTTACATCCATCATATACGCTCATATTTTATCAAACACATTTGCAGACATCATGTTGTTCAAACAGATAAAAACTCATTGATACTTGCAAAATCATTGTTTTGGAAAGCTTACCACATTAGGACATTCTGAAAATAGAGTAAATAAGAAAAATATCTTTACTACGATATTACTCACAATAATTTGTTTGTTGATAAGTTCTCACGAATGATCATAAACACATACACACATTGAATCATATTGCTTATTCGAATCATTCTTTAACTTATTCAATTCTCTGAGGCTTCTTTCTAACTCATTAATTCATTTAGGATGCTCAATTTATGCTTAAGAATGTTCAGAAAGGAATGAGAATAGAATATGACTTTTAAAAATATGCTGAAACAGAGCACTTTGCTTGAGCGCAACATTGGTCACTTGAGCGAACCACATGGTCTACAAAAGTATTGGATGGTCCGAATCTAAACTCGATGGTCGCTCGAGCCAAGGTGTAAAATAAACAGAGGTCGCTTGAGCGACAACTTAGTCACTCGAGCCAACTGCAAATGTCTGCAAAAATACTGGTTGCATGCTATGTGTGCTCGAGCGACAACTTGTTCGCTTGAGCGGTGAGTCAAAATTCTGGAATTTCCAGAATAGAGTTGAACTTCAAAACTCATAGTTTAAAGCCTATAACTCACGCATAACATGTTCTATTGTTTAAAAAAACTTCCAAAAACATGAACCCATGATCAATTACAAACCTTTAACTCAAAATTCTATGAATTTAGTAAAATTAAAGCTTGAAACTTCATAATTAAAGTGAGTTGAAACTTAAACTTTCATGCATGTATCAATTGTGTCCAAACTCTTTTCCAAAGTTATAATAACATACAATTCACTTTCCAAACTTTGTGAATCATGTATGCATGTATAATTCATCTTCTAAATTCAACATGGATGACAAAATGATGCTAAAAAATTATGAAACTCAACAAAACTATGCATGCATGTGTCAATTGGCTTCAATTCTAACCATTCTAACTCAACAAAACTTACATTTAATCACATTAAGCTCTTTGAATTCACATATTTGTTAACTTAAATTCATAAATTAGAGTTCAAATACATACCTAAGGTCTTCAATAACACCAATTCTAGCAAAAATATTGAGTTCTTCTTCCCAATTCACAAGCCTCCTAGCCAAATCTCCAATGTTGAGCCCCCTCTCTTTTTCTCTCTCTAAGTTGCTCTCACTCTCTCTCTCTCTCTCTCTCTCTAGTGTGTTTCCAGTAGATTTCTTAAGCTAAAAAATAAGCTATTTCTTTAGCTAAAAAATAAGCTATTTCTTTAATCTCTTAGCCTATATATACTTGTGATTAGCTTAAGGTTGCTAATTAGAACTTAAAGCTAACTACTTAGGCTTAGGTTAATTTATCAAAACTTAATTTTTCTGACCTAGATCAAATTTTAATCAAACCTCTCATTAGGCTCTAAAAATCATGACGATCTCAATAAGCTAACCAATTTCGGTTTCTGTCA